ACAAATTAGAATAGCGAAATAAATTGTTTGTAACTTATTACCGCTTACACACAGTCGAAATCAACAACATCAAGCAGCAAGATGGAACAGCGCACTTCGGCTAGCACCCCCCTACAACAAGCGGCGGAACTGCTGGAACAAAGCCAGCAGTTAATCCGCGCGGCCAGCGCGGAAACATCCCCCCCTCGCGCGACAACGGCGGCGCGAGTGCGCCAGATGTCGACGGCGCAGCTACGCCGGGACCCGGTACTGTGGGCTGCCTACACCCGCGGGTGGGATGACCGCACGACGGTCTTCCAAAGGGCGACGAGCGCGAGGCCCATACCCGCGGAAACCGATAGGTCCCGGAGCCCTAAACGGCCCGTACAAGCGTCGCACACTGTGAGACCGCCCCCCCTCCGCCGTCCGCGCAATTCCTGCGACCACCCCCCCTCCCGCTAATGGCCGTCCCGGTCCCTCGCCCTAGGTCAACTTCGTCCCTGACAACGAGACCAGCGGTGACAGCAGCAGTGGCGACGGCACCAGCAGCGACGAGACCAGCGGCGGCACCGGCAACACTCCAATCACCGATGACGGGACAGCGGAATGCGAGGCAACGCCGGAACCTACAGCGGCTGAAAGAACACCGGCAGAAGAGGAGAGCAGACTCGACCCTACTAACCACCCCCCCAACAACGCTCCCAACAATATCGGTTGGAAGTACCGGTACCAACCGGTACAGCTCCAACACCCGGTCCACAGACCCAGGCGGCAAATCCGCCCGTGACCGAGGCTACGGCGCCGGAGGTAACAAGACCTACCAGGACAGCCGAAACCTTGGAGCAATCAACAGCACCCCCCTCGACACCGGTGGATATGGATATATCACCGGAGGAGGAGGCGGAACTGTTGGGCCCGGGCGGAGGAGCCCTTGATGATATGGACATGGAGGAGTCGGTATGTGACAATAGGGACTTTTACAGCCTCCCAGCATCCCCCCAACAGTAAAATCCGTCGCGTCCGCTGTAGTCAGCCGGAATACAAACGGCCTTTACGCGGAAAACCGCGGAACGACTTCTTTATCCAACCACCAGCGACGACGGACGACGCCGACGCACGATCAACGGCGTCGGAACGTTTCGACCGCCGATACCGCGAACCGGTCCGACGACCGGAGGCCAGTTTTTCACCATACGCCGTACGCGACATATCATCCGTTTGGTTGTGATAATCGCCCGTACTGTGAACCCTTTTTGATTTTTCCCCTTGACCACAGTGACACTCACCTCGATATTTTGTGTTAAGCTTTTACTTAGTTGTTTATATATTAACACAATAAATTGACGACTACCGTCTCTTTCTTTTTAAAAAACCAACATCTCGTGTTCAACTTATTTTTTGCTACCTTGTCAACATCCCGCCGTCCCTCTCCACCTCCAGGTACGCATCAGGGTATACCTACAAATTCTGCTCAAAACAAATATAAGAAAGGTAAAAGAATAGAAGATTTGTTTCCAAGAAAAAAACCAAAAGCAAACACTACAGTAACTACTCCTGTCTGTCATTCAACTCTTATTAATAGTTATAATATTTTTGATATTCCATGTAGTTTTAGCAATATGTTGAAAGTTACATCACTTAGTGAAGTTGAAAGAGAATGTAAACTATGTGTAAATGATATTCTTGACAGTCTTGAGAATCAGTTTTTAATTAGCTCCTATAAAAAACATTTCTCTTTAATTTTATTCTATCAAAAATATAATGACATTAATTTGTCTCTAACTTCTATATTTCCCTTAAAAGTTAATGAACATATTTTTTATAATAGGTATATAAAAGTTGATCAAAATGCATGTTTTAATATTTTTATTGAAACATTAAATCAGTCTGACAATAATCTTTGGTTTGAAAATAGAAAAAACCGTATATCTGCTAGCACTAAGGCTCATAAAATTAGAGTTAGTAGGAATTTAACTACTGCTGGGCAATTGCATTTACTATTTTTTTTTATAGTTAATACATTTCTTAAAGAAACAAGTTTAGGAAAAAAAGGTTCTATAAATGTTACTTATGGGAAAAATACTGAGAGTTGCAATTGATGCTTATAAGCAAATGTTTGACAAAGAAGTTCTTAAGAGTGGATTAGTTATTAGTTAATTTATTCCTTTTTTATGCGCTAGTACAGATGGATTAGTTTTAAAAAATGGTAAAATTGATGCAGTTCTTGAGATTAAATGCCCAATTTCTTGCCGAAATAAATGTATAGGGGAGACTGGGGCAGATTTGAATGAAAATTACATTTTGATTTTTAATTTTTTTTTTTTCATTGAATTTGAAGTATTATAGTCCTGTTAGATTCTCATGATATTTTAACATCATACTGTAATAATTTTTAATCTATATCATAAAATAATAGTTTATTATAAAATGTTAAACACAAGTAACTTTTTATTCATATGTGCCCCATACTAGGGGTACATATGAATCCATGCGGGGCACATTTGAATATGTCTTTGTATTAAAAAATTAACACACATAAAGTACCAAAAAGTAAAGGTAAAGGTTTTATTTTAAAACATTTTCTCAGTACAGTTCTCTTAAAATTATGATAACAAACTTTGGTCATATCACATCCTACCTAATAGTTAAACAAAAATAAAAATATATTCTTTCATCAATAACATTTAAAACATAAGTTAAGTTTCTGTTGAAAAATTAAAAATAGGTAGTTACTTACTTACCTATAGCCTATTATATAAATAACAAAATATAAAACATAACAATTTCTCTTAAAAAGTTAAAAGTAGTTAGTAAGATAATTACTTAAGTACCTATCTACCTACTTAAAATAGTAAAAATAACAAATTGAATTAATCTAAATAAGTCTTTAAAATGTTTTCATAATCAGTCTTTTAAATGTAATTAACCCATAATATTATATTTTTCAAATGATATTTTAGGAAAAGTTAAAACCGAACAACTTCTTTCAGTGTTATCAGTTGCTGTTGGTTTAGGTAACACCATCTCAATATCTGCTTTTGCTACATTGTCTGTATCTTGTATATCAGGATATATAAATGTATCACCCAGAGTTCTTTTCAAAAAAAAAATTTCATAATGATTTTGGTCAACATCATCAACACATCCAACAAAATACTTAACTGACTTAGGTCCACTATATTTTACAAGAAAAAAATCTCCAGACATTTCTTCATCACTACTAGAGCACAGGTCAAATAAAGCTCATTTTGTGGTAGCTTTTTTAGGAGGATTTGATGAAATCTTTTTTTTTTACTGTTTTGTTTGGTTGCTTTTTTTTCTGGCGTTCTTCAGTTTCTTTTTCTATTAAATTTTTTTCTGGTGTTTCTGTTAAAATGCGTGCTTTGCCTTTTTTGCGGCCTCTCTTTTGTTCTAAACGAGGTCCAGCTTTTGGATATGGACGAACATCTTCAGGAGAAATAAGTTGAGTATTATTTTCCAATGTACTTTGTGATGTAATTGGAGTTCTAGGAATAGTTATTTGTGCTGAAGTAGATGGTAAGCATTCTTCATTTGAAATATTTAATTCTAAATGCTGTATTTTACTTGAATTTATTTTATCATTACAGCTAGAGTTATTTAATCAATTCAAATCTACCACGCATTCAAATCTGCCCCAGTCTCCCCTAATAGAAAATGGAATTCCAAATTTAAAATATTTATTAGTTGATAATGGAATACTCAAGTTAAAAAAATCATCAATGTATTTTACACAATGTCAAATTTTAATGTACTGTACTGGTTTATTAACATGTGAATTTTTTATTTATAATAATATTGAACCAATGGCATTAACCCTATACTGTATACTGTTCCATTTTTGGAACACTTAGAATACACGATGTTATTAATCAAAAATTGTATAATATGGTTATGAAATTAATTTTATTTAATTCTACACTTAAAGACGATTATTTTAATGTAGCATATTTAACAATTTTGCATTGAATCCATAAGAAATAGTACTTAGAGCATCGCATTTTCATATAGTACAAATAAACATAAAACTATAATCTTTTAAAAATCGTATAAAATTCACCATCATTACTATCGATATGTAAAAATATCGATTTGTTACTGATCATGTGGTTTACATAATGGAACAATCGTTTTGTATTCTTATATCGATAATGTAGTTGTACCGCCATTTATATAAATGTTCCATTTATGGAACATCATGCGGATAATTACGCGATTGAAATTTATTGTAAAAATGACGATTTAGTATTTCAAAAATAGATATTTGGGATTTCCGATAAAATGATTTCTGTCGATCAAAACATTATCTACATTATTTAATCAGTTTATATTTTTCTTCGAAATGGACAACATTGCCGACGACGTTGACGCAATTATCAATGCTTTAAATATTCCTATCGAAAGTGAAGACGAAAATTGTGACATAGGTAATTCTGATGACGAATTAAATTGGAAAAATGATGACCAAGATTTAATTTTACCAGTTTTTTACCAAACACTTAATTTATGTATAATTTTGAAGTATATACAGGATTGGAAAATAATTCAGAAAAACGCTTAAGTACAGAGCCTAATTTAGGAGCATGCGCAAATGTTGTACTACGATTATCCAGAATCGTTCCTAAATTTCAAAACTTCAAAATATATTTTGATAATTATTATACCACATTGGCACTAGTTGTTTACCTAGCAAAACAAGGTATTTGTTCACTTGGAACATTAAGAAGAAATAGAGTGCCTGGTATAAAATTATCAGACGAAAAACAGTTAAAAAAAAAAAGTAGAGGTTTTTTTTCAGAATGTCTTACACAGATTGACGGAGTACCGGTAACAGCAACGGAATGGAAAGATAATAAAGTCGTCACTTTACTCTCAAATTTTTCTGGTGCAGAACCAGCAAGTGAAGTAACACGTTTTGATAAAAAAAAAAATGAACATATTTCTGTTCCATGTCCAAACGTAGTTAAAATTTATAATCAGCATATGGGTGGAGTTGACCTTTTAGACTCCATTATAGCTCGGTATCTGATCGCTATGCGAAGTAAAAAATGGTACTTTAAGTTGTTCTTTCACTTTATGGACGTCACAATAGTCAATGCTTGGTTATTATATCGAAAAAGAAAAAAAGAAAATACCATGTCGTTAGCAGATTTTCGACGTGAGATCGCTGTATCACTTTGCATGCAAGGGAGCAATATATGTACGCCAACTACAAGAGGAAGAAAACGAAATATTAGTGAATCGCCAAGTGAACCAAAAAAAAAAAGAGGTATGTACTGAACACTTGTAAGTTAATTTTTGATAATAATTAATATTTTGTGATCATAGGTATTCAACCATATATGCCACCAACGGATGTTCGGAAAGATCAAATCGGCCACTTTGCCATTGTTACAAATTTAAGGGAAAGATGCAAACTTTGTGGTTTGAAAAGTTCGATGCAATGTACTAAGTGTCGAGTATTTTTATGTTTGAACAAAAAAAACAATTGTTTTTATACTTTTCATACTTAATTTGTGTGTTTATTAACAAATTGTGTAATTTCATATAAAATAAAAAAATTGAATTATTCAACATTTAAAAATCTAAATATTAGGTACCTATATTATAAAAGTATGTATTATAATAACTAATATATAAAATATAAGAAATATTCAAAAATGTATGTATTTTGTTTACTTGCATGATGTTCCATTTTTAGAACAATTGAACTTTTAGCTTTTTTGGGTAAAATAAAATTCAAAAAATTTTTTTAACATTTTTTAGAACATATATGTACATCTAGCAATCACATATAATTTTATTGTTGAAAATAAAAATGTCATGCAGTATAGGGTTAACTATACAAAGAGATGAATTATTTATGACAAATACTATTAAAAAAATAGAAACATTTTTTAAAATTTTTACTTGCCAGAATTAGTTTCCAGGCAAAGTAATGTGTAATAATAATTGATAATTTTGATATTTAAACATGTAATGTATATTTGCGAAACAAATTATATTTTATCAATCAATGTTAGTTTATATAAATATATAAAATTACTGTTTTAGGCATAATAAATATTAATATACATTATACAGTGTTAATAAAGTTTATAAGTATTAACTAGGTACACAAATCATAACTTATTGTCTTAACTTTTTAAGTTCTACTGTGAAACAAAAAAAATACACTTTAAGACTTAATTATAGGTAATTGCAGGTTGGTTAAGACACAACATATATGTACAATATTATCAACATGAGGAAGAAGGTTAATTTTTAATTTATTAAGGATACCATACATTTTTAATCGTGCAAAGACTCTTTCAATATGTATACGAACACTAGCTATACTATATGTTTCTAGTATTTCTGTCTCAGAAAAACGGCCATTGTGCAATATTGGGGGCATAATTTAAATACTGTTACTATTTTCAATTTCAGTTTGTATACCAGGAAACTCTTTGTCAGCAAGTACCTAATCACCGGGTTCTAATTTTTTTAAAAATCCTGAATCGTTTGTAATATATGAGTCACTTGACCTACCACCATAACATTTTGAAACGAAGCAAATTATTCCATTTGGGTTGATCGCCACAAGAAATTTTATTGTATAATTACTTTTATATCTTGAATATAAATAAACACGTTGTTCTACAGTATTTGGTTGCTCAACCTTAACTTCAGTACAATCGATACTACATCTAAAATCTGGATAATTTAATTTAAAAGCTTCAGGTAAACATTGTTTGACTGAATATTTATCAGTCTAAAAAATAAAGTCTTTAGTTTTTGAACTTAAAAAATGAAGACATTCAGTAAATATTCTTGAAACTGTAGAAGGATCAATTTCAAATAACACACTGATTGCTGAATAGCTAATACCCAGTTTTATTTTTATTAAGAAAATAAGTAATCTATTTTCTTTTTTAACAGAATTTATATTTGAAGTAGGTTTTAAAAAAGAAAGTAAAAGATTAAATACACGAAATAAAGTCCCAGTAAGCTTATAAGGCGTTTTTAATTTTTATTGATTCAAACCTGTTGCCGCCGCAACATAGTTATTGTTATGTATATTGCCGCCACCGAGTATTGGGTTTGACTGACCGATTCACACACACACAAACACCTATATACGCTGGTGTTATTTTTATATTTATTTTGTTTTAATTATATTATGTGTTTGTGATTGTTATGTATATGCAGATTACGGTCGTCGCGTTATCGTCGCCGCCGTCTCGATCGTGCGAAAAATATACGGCCGCCCTAAAATTTAGTTAGTATATTTTGGTAATCGTTGAGAGCCGTAGCAAAATATTGGTTCGTGCGCTAATCGTAACAATTTTATGTACTTTTTATAAATTATTTGCGCTCAATCGTCTAATTTTTGTGATACCTATGTATCTGGCGCTAATCGCCACTTTTTTAAATAATTATATTATACATTTTGTAGACGCTAATCGTTACCTTTTTGTAATACCGTATTTTATAGGCACGAATTGCCACATTTTGTGATTTTATTTAGCGCTAATCGCGTGTTTATTATTATTATTATTATTATTATATTTGTATTGTTGTGTACGTGTTATGTAATTATATTATATTAAATAGGACCAGCTGGCCAGTCTGCGCTCCACAAACTGTAAGTTTTTTCTAATTTTATATTATTGGTTCTGTATATTATATACGACTCGAATAGTCGAAATTTAAAATTATTTATTGTTATAATACATATCGTTATTTTATTATTGGTTGTGCCGAACCGGCACATTACATCTATATATTTTATTGTTTTGAGCCAAAAGGGCCAAATATCATTATTATTATATTTATATTATAGCTCTAATAGCATTATATTGTTTTATATTTGATATTATTATATATTGTTAGCCAAAAGGCCATAGTTATATTATTATATTACATTTTGTTGTTGTGCTCTAATAGCTACCCTTTTATTATATTTTACTAGGCCAAAAGGCCGAACTTATTTAATATATTATTACTATATTTTTATATAAATTTTTCATTTACCGCAACAGAGTTACCTGCCTTCCTTATTGTTGCTTCAACACACAAAACATATATACACACACAACACTCACCACTACACACTAGCACTCACAGGATTTGCTCGGCGAACCTGTCCACTTACTGTTGAGTGCTATACACATAATATACAATACACAGGTCGGTCGGTGTGTGACGTATATCAGCATATTAATATTGGTGGTGACCGGGCACGCACACTTATCGTAAGAAGCTCCCGGCCCGTACAAAACCCTTTAAATGATTCATGTGATAAGCATGAGATTTCATTTGAATCTGGCCCATACATTTTATTAAGTAAACATGGTTTAGAAAAATTATTATTAAAACTTGTAGGAACTGAAACTTGTGTGTTTACATTGTTTTTATTTTGTACACATTCAAAAATAAAGTTATCATTACTAAAAGTATTTAAATTAACTTGTGTACTTACATCACATTTAGTGTGTAAATTGGAATGTTGATCAAAATTAATTTCAGTAATATCAACATCAAGTGTGTTTGTCGTAGAATCATTTATTACTTTACTATTTTTTAATTGAGAACGATTTAAAGAATGGTTGTATCTTTTAGTTTGTTGATCAGTATTAGATTTTGGTTTATTGTAAATTTTTGGGAAAATAGATGGAATATAGGATGGACTTCGTGGATCTTTAGAACGTATGTTTCCTACAAAATGATCTGAACATACTAAACTTCGAGCAGTTGGCATCCATAATTTTCCATTTTTACTGTCAAATTAAAAATAATTATAATGAATAGATATCCACATCAACAACATACAATTCTCATTTTTCATCATTAAACATTTTTAGATTTTATACAAACATAGTATAAATCATTGAATTATTATATATAGGTACCTAGTTCTTTAATAAATTTAAAAAATATATTTGTATGATTAAATAGGTTATATTTTTGTACCTACTTAAGCATGAATGTGTGAGTTATGACAATTGTGTTTTTTTCATGAGTTATTATCTTACTATCTATACAATTGTTAGCTTACTCCAAACGGTTTACAGCTCTAATCCATTTTTGTTTCAATTCCTATTCATACTGTCTATTGGGAATTGAGAAGAATTTCAGGTTTTTTGAAGTTTGGTATGTATTGGAACAGTTCACTACACAACACATGTTTTTTGATTTTGACTGAGCCATTTTAAATATTGTAGTTCACAATTTAAATAAAATAAAACAATTAATTGTAAATATATTTCACAGAATGCTTGTGCATTTTACTACATAGTACATACTATGGTGTATGTTTATTTATAGTATTTAGACGTGACGCGATAAAAGTTCGCTCATAGTCCGCTAGGAGCGCTTAATTCATCATGCACGGCGTCTATACAGCAGTTTTTGGTTCTTTTTTTTTTAATATATAAATATGCATAATTTGATATCCATTATGATGAACAATCATTTACAATTGATAGTAGTTTAGTTTTACGTGTTTATTACTATAATACTGTATAATATTATTATGAATTCAATTACTTGAATTAAATAAAAATATTACTTGGATAATTAATGATCATGTTTATGTCTAATTTGTTACAATACATTGTTACCAAAGTCGTGCTATTATCAATTAATCCATTTACGCCCAAGGTTAATTTTTGTGAATAAAATTGATTTTTTCCACTATAAACTTATATTATTGGAGCCAAATGTGATTGAAAAAATTATAAAAAAAAAAATTATATACCATACAAGAGTTATTGAGTGTCCTATATATAGGACACTGGGCATATGAACAATTATAAATATTATTATGTTTTCATATACAAATATACCAATAAAAATAATTGAAATTTAATACTTTTAATTGATAATTAATTATTACACGTTATATTTAAATTATGATAATGAGAGGCTTACAATGTATATTTTATGAATTTACTTAGGTACATACGAACATTATTTTGTGTGATATAAAACGTTACATTTTGCGTGGACACCAATATTGCACTTCATACATCTTGTCGTTGTTTTTTGATGACATTGACCACACCGTGTTTGAGAGTCTTGGGGAATCAAATAATGTTCAAATTTATCATATCTTATTTCCATAATAACACTGGATGGTTTGCCTCCACTTCTTCCTGGAGTGGGTTCTGTCTTGTAACGTGTCAGATATGAAATAACTATGCTTCTTCGAAATGCCAATTGATCCATTTTATTTTTATTATACATCCTATGAAGCTGCCATGCATTTTGAACGGCTAAGTTTATAATATATATAACAATAGAAGAGTACCAATTTTTACCTCTGATCCTAATACCTACGATATTGTGATATATTTTGGTCCATTCGATCTACACTACCCATATTTTTGTTATAAACAGAAACGATATTTGGTTGTGAAATCCGTAATCTTTTTTTTTTCGGAAGTAGACCAACGGTTTGCCATAGAAATAGGATCTGTCCCAATAGTATTTGAAGCTAAGCAAACAATGTTATTATCACGCCAACAGCAAATAAAAATTGCATTATTTGAAACAAAACTACAGCTAGACCCTCTTGGTTGTTTTTTCATTTTTCCAAAATCAATTGGACATTTCATAACTCTGTTTGACCGAATTGTACCTGTCGCGCGAATGTTGATAGATTTGAGCTTTTCCAATAGAGTGATACCCGTAAAAAAATTGTCAAACACCAAATGATATGGAGCA